CCCGTTTTACTTCTTATTCAAGATGGTAGATGTTACTGTATCCGTTGCTGACCAAACGGTACGAAGCCGCCGGATTCTTCTATTGTCCAGACCACTTTTGTTTTACTATGGACACCTCTTCGAACGCTCGAGGAGGAGAGCGAACCTGTCGCGTCCACCTACGATGTTAAATTACTCCTTGCATGCACCTTGTTTGCAGCGTCTGGCAGGGCAGTCATGTCGGTTTGTTCAGTCACAACTGCGGAGATTTCACCCGCATTACGACAATAATGTCCTGGATTATTGATTTGGTCAGTTAATTTAACTTCATCCAGCTGGCCCACGAATACATTGACTGAGAGACAGAGAAAACTAGGCGGTGACCCCAGTGCAGTCCGTCTACATATCTGTTTGAAGCCTTGCTAGGCCGAGAACTGTAAATTTAATTGATCGGAGTCTAATAAAAAGAATGCGGGAACATTCACCAATATGAATAAACGTCAATTGGGGAGATTAAGTGTCAACATCCTCGCACATATTGCTAATTCTGGATTGCCCGTGGATCCCAAAGGAGTCCTTCGAGTGAATTATCAGCTGTCGTCCATTGTTCCAAACCTCTACTAGTAACAGCCGAAGCGAGAAAAATGAGGTCACACAAGCCGGTCTTAAAAGACTTGATAGGGCTTTGCAGCTGCCATAGATAATGGTCAGTTGACCTGTCAGTCTCGTGTATTTTTTCCGCCCCACCACCAAATCACTGTCCATCCTTACCTCGACCAGGCGATACTGACTGCCTTCACTTACCCTTACTATATTCCTCACCTTCCGCTTGCGTGGAACCATAAAACTCGATCCCTCTTCTTACCCGCATGTCTGACTTGAAGCAATAGCCACATAAATATAAAGGCCTGGTGTGAATTTATCGATAGCGAACGTATGTTCGCCCAAGCATCATTCGCGTTTTTCTTTTTTTCGTCACTTCCTGGACGGATTCTCGCGCAAGTAACTGGTTGTAGTAGTGTACTTCGTCGTTCTCGACGGTTAAAGCATCACGATAGTTTTGTAGATGCCATTGGGGCTGTCGGCCGTGTAATTTACTCTATACTTCTGCATCCGTATGATTTCCTCCGGGAATATATTGGTCATATTGCAAATTGTGGACCTTGTCTTCAAGGTCTACCGTTAGAACTGCTACTCTGTCTGCCATACGCAGTTGCTAATACAAAAGCCGAGTAACTAGTAATGTGTCACTCAACTTTTAAATGTCATGGTATGACGCTCCGACTCCATTTTTGTCACGTCGTTTTAAACTAGCCTTTCAGGTCATCCCCACTTCCACAGCCACAAGAAGTTCTTTGCCGTATTTGGACCGATTTCGGTG